AACAACGTGTAAACATCAGGCCAATTTAATCCTTGAGAATAGTGACCAGCTCCCCTGGTCTGCCCAGTAAGCTTGCAGTTAACTGGCAAGATTCCTACTTAGGAAACAGAAACAAGCAATGAAAAAATCATCTGTTGGAATATTTTTTACCTCTGCTCTTTTCAGTGAAGATTTGGTGCCTGTAACATCTTCCCAGTGAATCAGACAGTGGAGATATAATTGATGCAGGACAGCATCTGCTAGTAATGCCTTAGGTAGACCAACAATAAGAAGATATTATTCTGTGCATTTAAAAATCAATTTGCCTACATGCCAACTATTTATTTCTAAAATAAACGCCTTGTATGACCTTAAATAATTTTTTCCCCACTAAATTGTAACAACGTAAGTGGAGCTACACAGAAACAATGCTGTAAGTATCCCCTTCACCGGGGTGCTGTGTACATGATAGACTCATCCAACACAAAAGGTTCATCCATTGCTGAAGAGACATAAACAGAAAACAGCACAAGTACCCTACAGTGGGCACAGCTACACCAACAGGCACAGATGAGAAAGCAATGCATGTTTTTGGGACAAGGAGATAATGATTACAAACTTTGGTAATCAAAAAGCTAGATGTAATAGCTGACCTAATAGAGACTAAAAAAAGCTGATGTGACACTGGAAATATCACATGGAACATAAAAGAGGCAGGAGACAAATGTCAGGGGCTGTTTGATTTCTCTCTCAACAATTCCATGGACGATCAAATTTGATCCTGACGCTCCTCTGCCATAATGGCTATGCAAATTCTTGCCCATGGCTGGACTGCTGGTGAATTATGAACTTTGGCAATCATGCTGGCATTTCATTATATTCCCTCATCTCATTTCTGCTTTTACCCATCACAGGTTTTTATAATGCAGATACCAACATTTTCAGATAAGATTTCAGCACTCCCCAAGAGTTAACAAAGTTGCTCTGATCCACGCCTGGAAATCTTGGATGCAAACAACACAAATTAGCATCAGCTACACCAGTTAGCTGTCATTTTGTCATGCACACAATGAGATTCTTCTCTCCCTCCTCTACCATAACAGTGCATTTGCACTGTTCGTTGAGATCATGGTAAGGATCTTCCTCAGATGTAAATACATGCCTACACACACACAAACACACACGTCAGTTAGTTCTGAGCTACTCATCTTATTCCTGGTCTCCCCAGCCTGTTTGGAACAAAAACGACCACATCTGTGGCATCCATCAATTCTCTGTAGGCAGCTCAATCATATATAATAGCGAAACAAAACAATTCACTCTAAGTGTATCTAATTTGAGGCTTATTATTCAAGACCATTTCCTCATTAGGCTAGTTTTCCAGTACTCTTCTCCCTTTGACTGTCTGTGAACTGGGTTATTCTTCCACCCCATACGCTATCACGACTTTTCCTATTCTGAGCTCTTCTGTATCTGCCAGCTCTGGTTCTGACCCATCTTCCACTGAAAGTGAAGGGAGTTTCCCTTCTGGTGCTGTAGAGAATGCTAGATGAGGTTCTATTTGCACTCTCTGTAATCAATTGTCATCATATATCTCTGTCCTTTTCTAGTGTTTGCAACGCTGCCTAATGTAGCATCATTTGTAAATGTAATTAATGAGCTGTTTATGTACTCTTCAAAAATCATTAATAAAGATGTTAAATTAAACTGTGCTTAGCGGTGCACCCTAAGTCACCTTGCACACTTCTGTCCAACTTGATACATTGCCATTCATCACAACTTCTCATTCATAATGCCTCCAGCAATTGTAAATCCTATGACATGACTCACATTCAAAACAATCTGAATATATATATATTTTTAACTATTTTTGCATGTCTTCCTAGACTTGCTGTCTTTTTCTGTTTCAAAAATGTTCACCTTTTCTTCTCCCTTCTTTCTCCACTTGCTACAGCTGCAAGGCTTTCAAATTTAGCTAATTCTTTTACCATACCAGGGCTTGCTATCACCAATACCTACTTATGCCAAAAGCAACTGTTTTTAATCAGTACCTAGTTCAAAAAATTTTTAGTTTCCTCTTGCCTACTCACATGCATTGCATTCTACGAAGCAACCAATGTTTGCCATCAATGAGCACTGCTGGTCTTTTCTTCCTTATTTTCTGTGGGCAATCATCTATTTCCCCCCTCAGTTCCCTATTGCAAATACATCTGTTGTCACAATCCAGTCCACGTTTTTATGTTGCTTACTTGAGTCGTAAGTACTCCTGCACTCTCTACAAGCACCAAAAATCTGTAGGGTTTTGTGTTGTTGGTTGTTTTTTTTTTTCCCCTCCATTTCCATTCCCTACCAACTATGTCTACTGTATATTGGATCTTGTAAAACCCGATTGCACTTTGTATTCCTCTCTTCTGACTTGCAGTAATCTACTGCTCCTTAATTGAATGAATTATACATCTTACTTTGCTCCAGGCTTGATTTGTTCATTAGGGTAGACCTTCAAGTAGCCTTCACTCCCCAAAGCATTGCTGAAATCACTAGACTTGAGGCTTTTCAGAACAGTTCACAATCAGTCATGTGGACTTTAAAATCTATATTGCTTGCTAAGCTTCTTAATGCTGGTATGAATGAATGGCTCTTGGCTCCTGCTCAGCTTGTGCAGCTGTGTCCTGCCATTCTGGGTGATGGGTTTTTTGTTGTTTGTTTTTATCTTGAACAGGTGCAGCTCCTAACCAGCAAGGAAATCATCCATGGATAGTTTCTCTCATGGTCATTTTTTCCTCCTAGAATACCAAGCTATTATTTGTGAAATGCATGAAACCCACGAGCAGAACACCTCTTTGTTATTTCATTCACATACAAAGCTACCACCTAGAATGTCCACAAATTACTGAAGCACTACAGATACGAGCATTGCTAGTGATGACCAATGCCTACTGCAAATTTTCCTTTCTTACATTTCAACATTTTCTTTTTCCACACCACTTATTTTTATTTTTTTCCTTTTTTTTCCTTCACTGATCTGAATGGCCCAGCAACAGTATGTAATTGCCCAAAGGCAGGAACAAGAATGTACATGGGCACAACAGCACCAAAACCTTACTGCCTCCAATGATGGGAATCACAGCAGGACCTTAATGCCTCTGCATGTATAAACAGTCCTGGAGGAGAGTTGAAAACATCCTCAGAGGTTGCTTTCACTTCTAATTTATGTGCATAGTATTAAAAGTAAAATAAAAATCGTAATCGATTAACTGCTATTTGGTGTCACCTCTCTTTGGTGGCTGCATAATAACAAAGAAGGCTCATTGGACCAAATGTGGCAAGTACATAAAGGACGTTTTTAGCAGCCATATTTACCCATTTTTGTCTCAATATGCTACACATAACTCAGCCTACAAGTCCTGCATCTCCCATCTCCTCAAAAAGAGGTGCAAAGTCATGCTGCTCATGTGATAACTTCCCTCTCCTTTACATACTTAGGGAATGTATGGCTATCCAGAATTAACGTTTCAGCTGCTACAGTTGGAGCTACAGAATCCAAACTGCAGAGCTGGAGAGTAAACAGAGCTGTGGACAGGGGAAAAAAAAAAAAAGACTCCATCCTACAGAACACAAGAGTAACGACTGCTGAAAGGAATACTGCCCCAAGTGTCTAAGTGTGTGCCTTCAACATGCCCATCCATACACAGCAGCCACCTGCCCTTTGGACAGACAAGGGAATTAATCCAGAACCCCTATAGCAAATACCTTAAATCATTATAAAGGGAATTAAGCAGTCCTAGATCTGTAACTACTCAAATCCTCACTGGATTGGTGCAAAAATGTGATTTATAACCCACTCTTAGCAGCAGATTTGAAAGATAGTAGAGTTCATTTAAATTAACCTAATGATGCTTTGCTAGATAATATTCCTTGTGCACAAGTAATCTGAACTTGAGTGTCTGGTATTTGTGCCACCAGAGAAAAATCAAAACCTCATATCACTAGATCAATATTAGATGAATATATAGAACATCAGAATCTTTCTTCCTGGGTAAAATCTAGTCTTTCTGAAATAAGCTGTACATCACTCCAATAATTACCTACAGACTGAATACATTATCAACAGCAAAGTCCCCTTAGCTAAAGAGTTCTTTTAACCACTCTAAAATCCACCTCATGAAGTTCACATCGCTATAAATTCCCTAACAAATAAAGAATTAGCTGCAGAACTAGGGGAGGGAATTAGCATCCGCATAGAAGAATTTATCTGCCCGTGGTACTTCAAAGTTGGATTAGATTGCAGCTTTTTTTTTTGCTAAAAAATGTTTTACCAAGCCATTGTAAATGATTATGCTTTATTTGAATGCTTGATTGTTAAAGAAACAATATTTTCTTCTTTTTCTTTCAATTTTTGTCCTTCAATTCGAATAATGTTAGCTTGACTTCCTCTACCAGATTCTGTCTGTCTTCTTCCCAAACTCTGCCATAATAATCTTTTACTTTCCCTAGCTGGCCACTTACCGAAAAAAAGGCTTCCTTACAACCTCCTTCTTTAGGTAAGAGCAAAACAATCTATTATCATCGCAACAAGATAAAATAAAGATAGCTAAAACCAGAACCCTGGTTGTTCACAATGGCAGAACTAGGAGGACTTGCATCACGTCCAACTCCCATCTGCACAGTGATTTTATTTCACCCAAATAACAGTTGGCCAGAGCTCATGGCCAACTGTGCACCCAGAACTGCCATGCCTTTGCACAGACACTGCCTGCATGTGGCACAGAGGAGCTGAGGTGCCACTCTTCGGCATGGGGACCATGCAATGGCTATACCACTGTCCCCTTCCATCGCCTCCACAGAGCCCGTGCTAAAGCCATCTCTGCCTTTTTTTTTTTGTCTAGTAACTTTTCTGGGCAAACACCTATTTTTTCCACATTATGTGCATCAAGAATTCCTTGTGGAATTTTGTTCTTTATCAATAGTTATCCTAAGGCAAGGAAACAGTGATTCAAATTAGGTTCTCACACAGTACTTACAAGTGATCTGATGCTGTTTTCTTTTGCCAGTTTCAGAGAGGATTTATAGCAACTTGCCAAGTTTTCTTTATGAGTATCAGTGATGTGCCCTCTTGCTATCGGCCCAACTGTATGGATCACATCTGCAAGAAATGGAAAAAAAAATTAGTAAGTGCAGTTCCTAAAGTAGTTCATTACTGATTTCATGAATGCACAAAACTACTATATTGGAAAATCAATCCATTTTGGCATTGTATCTAGACAAAAAAGTTGGAACGTTATTCTAAGAAAACATTTACAACTGATGAACATGTAACATCTGTGGAAGTTATATGAAAGTGAGAAACTATAAAGGCTAAATTTTGAAGTAGAACTGCTTTTAGGTTAAAGGAAAATTAGAAAAATGTACCAAGTGCTTGCTATGTGTTTACCACAAACCACATGTGGGATGGACTACACATTTGAAGCCAGTTGCTCTCACTCTTTCACAGTCTACTCATTGGGAAAGCTCTCTGCAAAAGCTCAGCACGTAGGTGGTGATAAACAAGCTTCATTTTTTGCCTAATACTCAAGGCGTTTTCTCGGCAACTATTTGAAGAGGAGTAAAGTTATGATCTAAGAATGTGTTAGTTATTTCAGGAATGTGCTTTTCTTTCACATCAAACCAGGTGGAGACACTGCACAATAAAACAATAATATCTTATTCTGCCTGAAAAAGTTTAATGAACAAAAAGAGAAAGCAAAATCAGGGGGCAGCTCAGGTACGATGCCTCCAGATACTCTGAAACCAGATGCAGCAATCAATCAGCGTCTTCAGAGTGCAAAATGAAAAATGAAGTAAAAAAAGCCTGGAGTAAAACATGTTAAAGAGAATCCTAGCAAAATAAAAGGTGCCATGAAAAATTAATATTTTTTTCCCCCCACGTTTGCTAAGTAGGAAGCACATGTACTTCTCAGACATCACTCTTCAACAGCGTGTGCAAAGGCGCTACAGTGAGTTATGGTGGCAGGTACATCCTTTCCTCCCACCCTTTTGTCACCTCCCACAACACAGCAGCAATAAGCAGTGGCACCATTTTTGTAACATTTTCACAAAAAGGAAATGCTTCCAGTTGAGGCACCGCAGTCCCTTTGGTCAGGTTATATTTCTGTCCCTCCCGTGACAAGTTTCCGTGGACATCTGCTGCTGTTACAGCCCAGAATATTCATTTACTGAAAGGCTTTACAGAATTCAGACTACTAATGTTCATCCAGGCTGCATTTCATTATTCTTCTCCAACCTATCCAAAATCATGAGAGAAAGTGACCAAGCGTCAAGATGCAAGCCACCCTCATATTTATTATTACTCAAGGCAATAGCAGCTGCCAAGTTCTAGTCTCTGCAACATTAACAAAGTAAACAAACAAAAGGTTTACTACTCTTCCTTCCATTTTGATCGCAATAATTTCCTCCAGCTCTGAGCCCAAGATGGACAGATTGGATATTACCCGCTGAACGTCACAGTGGATGCACAACACCTACAGCAAACCCTTCCCACAGCACTTCAGGAGGTGGAAACATGCAGTAGATGTTCACGTTCCAATAGGTGATCAAAACAAGTTGAATGGTTTTACCAGAAATTTTGGAGAAGACATACTTTCACATTTTAGTAAACTAAAACTGAAGCTAAACTGAGAGCTATTAAGACCTAGGAAAAGACAAAAAAAAAAAAAAAAAAAAAAACCACAACTAGTTTAAAATTTGCTTCTGCTTACAAAGATGAGGTTTGAGCGCTTTCATTAGGTAAGACCATCATTTCATGTGTCTACAAACTCTACAGTGGCTTACTTCAGGTTGAAACTTTCCAGGGCATGTTTTCCTTTGGCAGTGTTTGCACTTGGTCCCTTCAAAGGAAAAAAAGCATCTCTCGACACTTTTTCTTATTTGTTTTTGAAAGAGACAACCTGCTATTACTGAGCAAAGGGAAGAAACGTAACAGTAAATCTGATCTCAATCAAGGTTATCCTACATTTAGAGAAAGTAATATCAGAGGCATTGCAGTGCATTTTAAATTCACCAGTCAACAAGCAAGTCAAGTAATGGAATGACTACAAAAACTTAACAACAAATCATAGAGGATAAATAAGCAGAGAATCCTAAAAGAATTCCCTTTTTCTGCTAAAGCCAAATTAAGTTGCATTTCAAGGTGCTGCTGCTCAGAAGTGGAAGCCTAATTGTTGAATTTAACCATGAGTTAACCAACAAGATAGGGGGTCAGCGAATGGCCCAAGTGCCAAATTCTCACTCAAGTCTTTCTGTACAAAACTTCCCTTCCCAGAATTTCTAGGTACATTTTGCTCATTAAACATTTTCTCAATTTCTTTCACCTTTCATTATTAAACAGAATCTTCAAAAATTCCCGTTTCAATGATGCAAAATGTCTCTTTTACCATCTTCTCTTTTTAAATAGAACTTCACGACTTAGAATTTTCAGGGTACTTCATCCAACTCTCTACCACTACAGCCGATGTATCACATAAATAGGTAACCTTCAATGCAATTATCGGCTGTTATGTAGCATTTTTAGTTTGTTTTTCTTTTTAAACAAGTTCACAATAGGTGCTTCTCCAGACAGGACACTGAAGATGGTTATGAATTGGTTTCTCATCCATCAACATTATTGCAATTGTTTAGGAATTTATCATTGTCAAAAACTGTTTGTCTAAGGCACTTCCTTATAGAAACACATGACCATGACAAAGAAAGATTTTACTAGCACTAGCAGCACTAATCACAGGCCAAAGCGTTTCTTGGTCAGCTGATGAACATGGAAGTAAAGATTTTATTGTTGTACACTGTCAGTAAAATCTGTGTATCCATATATTGTCTAAACAATCTATTATTCAGCTCAAACTACTCCCCAGTATGTCAAGGTTTGCAGACAGGCAAAATCCTTCGAGATTATACAGGCATAAAGCAAACAGATCAGGAAATAAAAACACTTCCCCAGCACTCCCAGCCCAACAAGTTGATATATGAGGATTGGACTCCACAGCCTGAAGAAGAGCCATTTATTTTTAATATAGTTATGAAGACTGGGTCAATCCTCCACCTTGCCTCCCACAAGGAAATTTCATTTCTGTCTTATTCACAGCCTCACCACACGCAGCTGGAAAAATTCAGTTACTGCAGTGCTGGTAGACACAGGTGGAAATGTCTACAGGCATCTGTCCTCAAAACAAACTTCAGCCCTACTACTTCAGCCACCGGCAACAGCAGCCAGCCCCACATACATACAGACCTCTGGCATCACCAGCTGGCATCGCCAGTGGGACACAAATGTGCAAATCCTGCTTGATGGTCTTCCACATCAATCTGCCTGGGGGTAGAAGAAGGAGGTGTCACAGAGAATGGCTGCATTCACTCCGTTTTTTTTTTTAATGTAAGATAGAGCCACTATAATTGCTTTGAAGCTTCTGCTTTACCACAGTCAGTCTTCAAGCTGAGGGCTTTGGTAAAAAAGATGCAGTCCCAATGTTCCTAAATCACTTTCATTCCATGTAAACAACAAAGGTGCATGCTCACAATTTTAAGAGCAAACAGAGGCGCAGAGCCCCAGAGGTAGGAATACATTCCTTTGAAATTCAGGCCACAGCGAAGGAGATAATTTTCCTCCAAAAATACTTCCAGAGAGAAGGTAAAGGAGCCTGAAAGAAAGCAATGGCACAGATCTGCAAATACTACCACGGTTTGTAGCTCGTCTAGGGCAACAACAATTGAGTTTTGCACTGTTATCTCTAAGATTTGTGTTGCAACTTATGGCTGATAAGAGGAGAGCATACTCAATCCGTCTGCTCTTTTTCTAGTCTTCTGACTTTCAGTCACTTGGTTAGAAATTCTGGCAGCCAAATGGAAGAGTGTAGCAACCGCACATCAATTTGCATGTGTGCATGCTCTGCATCATCCCTGCTTGCTTTCATTCCATTTTTCGTCTTGTTTTTCTCTGAAGCACTATAATGAATGCAGGCATCTTGTGTAAACCACTAACTAATCTTGAGGGATAACAGACATTTTGGCATTTAAAATATCCCTGTCCCCACTTAGCTATCAGTGAAAATAAATGTAATTTGGGCATTTAATCAACCCTTCAAAAGCACAGTGACTCTTCCCTCAAATTCCTGCACGGGTCATTGAAAAATGAGACCATGTCTACCTTAACACACAAACCCTACATGTAAAAGGACAAGGCAAGGCTTTTTTTTTTCTTTTTTTTTTCCGGTCTCCTTCATTAAATTAATCAGTCCATAAATCTTAACACGCTGTTTTCCTCATGATTTGTGTCCACCATACTTAAAGGGCAGAGCAATGTGGGCCAAGATGCAAAAACAACTTCCAGCTGCAAAAGCATAAAGTGAAAAAGCGACCGTGACTCACTGTCACCGCGGAGGAAACTCTGATATAATTTACTTTTCTCCTGTTCTTTGTAGAAGTGATGTTAGATGGGCAAAATGTTAGCATAACGTATTTTCAAACAAATGAAGAAGTTTTCCTCGTTTCCTGCCTCGCAGAAGTGAGGGCAGCTCACATTCACGGCGTTAACGAAGCGGCAGACCAAGGCTAGAATCAATCGCACGCTTCCCTCCTTCATCCCGTTGTCGCTCTCACAGCCCTAATCGGCCCATCTAGTGGTGCATAATGAGGCTGTCCTCCGTCCATCACTGCCTGAGCTGGGTGAATTTTAAGAAGGAAGCTACCGTACTGTGTGTCACTGAATAAAAACAAGACATCTGACAATCAACTGCAGCATCAAGAGCTCCATTCGTAAGTCCAAGCAGCTGACTTCCTCAATAAGCGCTCAGAAGATTGGTCCTGAAACTAATAGCCAAGCCTCAACTGATAGGGGGAGGAATTACCCCCATATGCTCTTACCTGCTCACAGACACTACTCGTGAAGTCCATATCGCTTTGGTATACAGATTTGCTTGGCTTATTTTCTATTGCCATTTGCATGCCTTTGCTCATAAAACGTGCATTTTCAATGTGTAATAAACAACTGTTAATTCAAGTTCAACCTAAATGATTCCCTCAGGACCACAGCCTAATTTAAGTTATTTACTAATATATGCCTCCAAAACTTGATTAGCTGAGTTGAATATTTTACAC